ACCCACACACCCACACCCACCCACCCACACCCACACACCCACACCCACACACCCACACCCACACACCCACACCCACACACCCACACCCACACACCCACACCCACACCCTAGACTATTCAATGTGTTTCCTTAACTTCCTTTAGAATCTAGATTGTTTTTTTTTTCTATATTTACAATATCGATGGCTATTAAACATTGTGTTTTGTATAAGTTCGTGTAGAACTTAAATTCTTTTTTTTTTCATATGAGGAATATAGATGACCAGCAAACATTTTGTTTTGTTTAATTTCTTTTTGAATTTAAATTTTTTTTCCTATATTCACTATTGAACTTTTTGATTTCTTTTTCTAGACGCTTTTTGTGCGGTATTCCGAATTGATCATGACCGATTCGATGACTTTTTTCGAACGTGTCTTCGAAGAACTGTTGCTCAAAATGTTATGCGATGTTCGTCGGGAACAAAGGCGGGCGGTGAATGGTATGGCTGCTGGTGATTATGATAACGATATTTAAGAAGTGATTTTTGTGATTAAAAGTGTTGGTAAGTGGGACTAAAAGTTTCGGTATGTTAATAATTTTTTTACTTCTACATGCTGAAATGTATATTTTTATTATCGTGGATGGTTCTAGGTGGTTTTTTCGAATATGCTTTTCGGCAGCCACACGCGATTAATTTAGTTTTTATTTTCGATTTATATGCCATTCGTCTTCCTTTCTTTCGTTTACTTATCATATTTCTTTTTTTGTTTATGTTGTGTGCTCATGAGAAGATTTGTGAATGAGAGAACTTAGTTCTCTTTTATTATTATGGCTGCTCTATCTTCTGTTATATTTCTTCTATTCGATTATATCTTCTCTATGTGGTTTTAGGATATTTTTTTTATTTACTGTTTATCACTGATGTGAAGCCTTATACTCTTTGATTTAGTTAAAAAATAAAAAATTTCTATCATATAGCAAATGAATTTTAATTTGTATTTGATGTTGTAACATTAAAACGCATCGCAGTTATACAAGCATACGTCAATCCGGTATGATCTTGGTATACGATTCTATTAAATCGAATCTGATCCTATTGTGGGGTCTTACAAGAATCTTACCATATAAATTGATATCAGATCGCAGAGACTACTATTTTTTGTAGGATTTTTTGTATGATCCTACATGAACATATATGATTCTAACGTCAGATCAGATATGGTCATGTATGAACCCATAGCTGATCTTGCTATGTGATTGCTCGACCTGGGTCCCTAATTTGGTTCGAAAATCAGATCTAATCTTGTCTGAAACTCAGCTTTGATATGGTCCGAAAAACCATCTCCGATTTTGCCCAAGAATCAGTTCCAACCTGGTCTGAAAAACTATTTCTGATTCGGTCCCAAAATCCACTCTAATCTGACATCCGTCCGATACATGCTGGTTTTAAAAATCTGTTTCAGACTGACAGACAGACATTTATGGTTTTAATTCACGATTCCAGAGTCTAGTCTTTCAGCCTATGGAACACCTGCCACACAATTGCATAGATGAAGCATGATTCATATACTTTTTGTTCTCAAAAAAACCTATATCAAGATATAACTTTCTAAGGTCGCTCTTAAGGCGTTAGATAGTAGTGAAATCATTTCATGTTCGAAGTACAAAAGTAAAATATTTACGAAAACTGTTCTTTAGATTTTCTACTTGAAGCACTCTATTGCTCACGCCACATGCGAACTTTTGGATTGTAAAAAAGATGTACTTCTCTTGTCGAATCAGTCAATTGCATTCGAAGCGTATACATCGGTTCATTGTAATTGCCTTGCCAATGCAATTCAATATAAACGTCCATTTTACCAGTACTATCGTTCACCGGTATTTTGTGTTCGATAAATTCTCGACCTGTGAGCTGTTTGGATTCGTATTTGAACAGAGTTCCTTGTCGAACGAATATTCTCACTCTCGAAAAAAGTGTATATGGAATGTCTTGATCGACATCAAGACCCATGATCTTAATTTTTTGTTTTTGAATGGTGATACGTACTCGTCGATGAAGTTCCCATTCAGGTATGGGAATGTCTAATTTGGCCATCAAACCTCGCATAAGATCATCGCACAGAGCATGAATATTTAATTGAGCCAATGAAGCCATTGGAGTCAATTGTAAATTACCGATAGCCAATTTACCACCACGTTCAGCGACTGTTTGTGGAACATAGGCTGCTGGTGGAATGCGTAATGACGAGCCTAATACGAGACAAA